AACATATGCCCACAAAAACAGAAACTCCCCTCTTCCCTCCCCCCCTCCCCTCTCCTCCCCTATCCCTTCCCCTCAAACAATTCAGAAATAAGAACCATTGATAGCAAGAGGGTAGCTGCTACGGTCAAAAAACTACTACTCAAATTAATCCCAAATGCTTCCGGCTGTCATCGAGAATGAAACACGAAAAGGATTTTGACTTCAGTGCTTTTGAAAATTGTAAAAGGATATTCCCGAAAATTCTTGACCTCTAAAGCGGATATTCGCATTTCAGAAGGCAGAGAAATTCGTCGCTGAATATGAGTCTATTATCATGGCTAAAAAGCCACCTGCGCCACCAGTTCCAGCACCGGAAGTTGTAACCCCAGCGGCTCCTCCTCCTGCACAAACGACACCAGTTACCGTGTCTGCGGATACACCAGGGCGAACTCCATCAGCAAGAACACCAGCAACAACAGCACCAGCAACAACAGCACCAGCAATAACAACACCAGCAACAACAGCACCGGCAACAACAGCATCAGCAGGAGAAACAGCTGCACCAAAATCAGCAGCGGCACCAAAATTAACAGCGGCACCACAATCTCAGTATGTGTCCCCGCAGGCCGACATAGCAATAATGGCAAGTATTCCGATCGACGTAATATCGATACCAGTTCGAGCAGAGAGAAAAACGGAGGAGACTGATGAAATGAAATCGTCGGAGCCAGGAACGCAAAAAGGAACAGATGATCAGCAAACATCACCCAATCAGTAGAAATCCAAAACTATCAGAAGAATGTTCCCAGCAAATTGTTCACAAATCGCCGAAATGCTGAGCAACAGTGATTCTCAGCCAAACAACATGATCTCTCAGCAACTTATTCCTAAACGTGTAATTAATTTATACAAATTTTTGGATATGTTTCGCCAAATAAAGTTAATTTATGATACTCTGGCATTTATGTTCTTACTGACCTGAATGCTACAGTGTTATACAACGACACTGCACTCGTGATTTGAAGAATGTTGCATTACTCTGCGACATCGGCATCTTTTGCTGAATAACAACAACCAGATATGTCAAAAGGCCACAGGTTGATTTTAAAAACTGATTTGAAAGCTCGTAACACTTTCCAAAGCACCAGTAAGAACTCAGTCACCCACCTCTTCCTCGGCCAAATTGCCGCGCAATAAAGATTCTCAGCTGAACAGGGGTCGTCACTTTCCTTCAGATCAAATATCACCCAGAAACCCCTTCTGAATTAAAATTACGTTATCGTTTCTGCAAACGCATTTTATAAAAATCGGGGTGAAAAATCTGTTGATTTTCTTTTATTATTTCTATGGCTGGTTTCCTCTATAAGACGCATTTTTGAATTCATAATTGTGAAAAAAACAAGGTCTGGATAGCTTCAGTGACTTTCGAAAGGTTGTATCTTTCGAATTTTTCCCTGACTGTATGGATTTTTAGCTTCCTAATTACAGGCCTGGATAATTAAATGAAATGGTTTTAGGGAACTGAAAAAGTTTTGACGTGCTTTATTCACTGCTATGTACTCTTGCCGCCACTGTGCGCTTTGCGGAGAGAGCGAAAAACCACTTATTTTTTCGAATTTGTACTTACACAACAAAATTCACGATTATTACACTATATTAAAGTCTAACATGAAAAATTTGTTGGCCAACATGCTTTAAAAGAAATTTTAAAAATTTTCTTCCACTAAAATTCTCCTGCTTTTTGAGAAAATGGTAACACCTCTTAGGAAAAATACTAAATATGTCGCTGGCTTTCATTCATCTCTCACTAAATTCACTGAGAGGCTTCCTGCACAAAGCGATCAATTCATTTAATATAATTACGAGCAATAGTCTCAAACAATGGGCGACATTTGCTTCCGTAACGTTCGATGAAATTATTCCGATAGCAGTAACCGGTAAAGACACGTTTTACAATATCACGGCATTGCGGACAGCTTCGCCGATCCAAACAGTATTTCAGACACCGATCACGAAATATGCATCCAAACGGCTCAGCAGTCTAGAATAAAAGTGATTTTTTTTTATTAAATTTGTTCTTCAGCTCCATTTTAACGCATTCTTACATAACGTTTCTGCATAATCCTCCTCTACCTATATTATATGCATATCAGTATTTCTGATATCGACATCACCAGCACGCTGACCACCAAGCGACGCAATATTGGTCAGAGTAACTCAAAAAGTTGCCAACCTCACAGATGGGAGAACCAGATTATAAATTAAAAGCCATTTTAGGATTCCAGGATCCAGGTATACATGCAGGCATGCATATATATATACATATATGTATATATATACATATATATATGCCTGCGTGTTATATATATATATATATATATATATATATATTCTTGTTCTGCTTGCACATTTGCTTTTATGTGTGTACGTCTTCAGCTTGTCCAATTCCTAGGTACGAAAAGCAGAGAGGCTGAAATTTTAAAACACTTCTCCATTATATCCGGAACAGGAACTTTGAAAAACCGTTATTTATGCGCCTTGCCCGAAACATAAGAAAATAAATGGCCAACGCACGAGCTGTGCGTGCGATGATGCGTTTTTTGCATAGTTCCCCGCAACCGGTTTTTCGGCAGATCCTTCTAGCTAAACAAATTAAGACTAGCCGTCAAAACTGGCAGGAAACACCCTTTTAAAATTTCAGCTTTCTAGGTTTCCTGGCTTCTGAGTTAGCAATTTATTGGAAAAAGTCTCTCACGAGCCCGCACTCGGGTACCACGCATACCCCATGTCTGGGTTTGAGCTCGTTGAGATTTTTGGACGGGGAACATCCTCCTAAAACTACAGTCTTTCAGCTTTACAGGTTCTCGAGTTATGAGATTACCGGAGAAAACTTTGATGAACCCGTGCGTAGGTACCACGCATGACCGAGGGCTGGGTTTGATCTCGTGGAGACTAATGTGGACGAGAAATACCCTCTTAATGTTACAGTCTTCTAACATCTCAGATTCTCAAGTTATGAATTTACGCGGGAAAAACTTTGGCGGGCCCGTATGCGGGTACCACGCTTACCCGGAGGATGGGTTTGAGTTAATTAGTACCTGCTAGGACAAGGAACATTCCCTAAAAATTTCAGCTCTCTAGCTTTTCTGATTCGCAAGTTAGCAGTTTACCGTAAAAAACTTTGACGGGGTCTTACGTAGGTACCACGCGGGGAAGACCTCCCATTTTGGGAGTAGGGGCCCGTACA